TATTTACACTAAGTGCAAATAGCCCGCCTTGTTGATAGAGGCTATTTACAGTAGCTCCACCCACAAATGTGTTTAAAAAATCTTGCGTTTATATTAACATTTAGACGATGGCGCTGACGGTGATGGCTGCCTCCGTGGCGTGCTCCGCAGTTGTTTTTATGTTTTTGTTAGTTTGTCCTGTCTTTACTTATATCCCTGCAATCAGTTTCAACAGAGACAAATTGCTGGACATTCGGAAGTACACACCACCCGATATTTCACCGGTTTTCGATTATTCTGATGTTTTGCTGGACATTGTTGTCGGCGGAGCTGCGGCGCTGTTCAGATGCTTCAGGACGAGCAGACGGGGGAAGCGAGCCGGCGCGCTCGTGAAGCTCAGGCAGCGCGGATTCAGAACGCCGTTGCCGAGCAATACCTGGCAATAAAGCTCATTCTGATTCTGACATATCTCTTAACGGTATATGTTGTACCATTTCATAGTTGTATTTTGACTTTGTTGATAAATATCAGTAATCTTCATTGAGAACGTCTATCTAGACATATTAACATGATTTTTTTTTTCTTCATTGTATTTTAATTTTTGCATTACAGTAATAAGAATTTTGGAAGGAAATGCATGTTACACAATGAAGATATCATAATGGTCCACAAAAAAATGTCTTGTGTAAAATATAGAACACATTTCTTTTGATTTGTTTGAGTGAAATAAAAGGTTTTTGATTCTGTTTCACATACAAGAAAATAAAATAGTTTATTAAACATTTCTGGTTACTTTTTCAATCAGACATCCAAGGGAAGTCTACGGTGAAGTGTTATTTCTGGACCAATAATAACTGTTTCCAAACCACGCCACATATTTCATCATTTAGTCAAACAGGAAGTCCTGCCTATTTCATGCCAAATTAATAAAGTCCCATTGTGTCACTTTTCAAGAAGTCGAATCGATTCATTAAACTGAGATGCATAAAAAAAATTACATAATGGACAACCACATTTTTTTTGCCTTTTAGCAACACAATTATTATACTGAAATTAAATCAGTACAATCAGCCCAATATTTCCACTCAGTTTTATTTCTCATGAATGTTTATTTCACATTCTTGACTCTGCAAGACCCGTAAACCCCTATGGTGACATCTGAACTGTAACCGGTGTGCACATAACTTGAAAACATGATATAAAATTAAATACAAAACTGTTCTGCCTTCATCTTCATCATGTCAGACCACACGAGCCAGACGTATAACAAAGTTTTGCGATAAATCTAGATAATCTATTTGCATTTGACGAAAGTGCTGAGATCTTCCAGGAACTTGATGTACTCCTGATGCTCCAGCACCGTGCTCAACTCCGTCAGCTCATCCGCAAACGTGTTGTCAACGCCGCGGTCAGCCAGGAAGTCCATCAGATGGTCATACAGGGCCTAGAGAGTCAGAGGGGTCAGAGGTCACTGAAATCAGTTTCATTTCTTCCCCATTTTCATTTTTCTGGATTCCAATTTAATGGTTAAATTTAATTTCAGTAATCAAAATACAAGTCTAATTAATTGAAATAATGAAACCTATACAATTTAACAACTATTTATTATCAAAAGTTTATCAAAAATTACATTTTTAGGGCTCTATGAGTGGCCTGTTTTATTTTTTCCCAAATTCTGTGTTTTATTTTTTTCTGGATTCCATTTTAATGGCTTAATTAAATTTCAATAATCAAAAGGCATGTTTAATCAATTAAATGAATCAAATAAAATGTTAAAAATTATTAAAATTTTTACAATAATAAGGCACTATGAAATTAAATTAATAAGTTTTCATTTTTCTGGATTCCTTTTTTCCCCATTTGAATTTTTCCGGATTCTGATTTAATGGTTATATTAGATTTTAGTAATCAAATTAAACTAATTAAATTAAATATTGAAACGATATAATTTAACGACAATTTATTCAAAGTTTTACAAAAAAAAATCACTTTTTTTTTTGGATTCCTTTTTAATTATTCTGGATTCAGTTTTACTATTTTAAAGGAACACTCCACTATTTTTGAAAATAGGCTCATTTTCCAACTCCCCTAGAGTTAAACAGTTGAGTTTTACCGTTTTCGAATCCATTCAGCCGATCTCCGGGTCTGGCGGTAGCACTTTTAGCTTAGCTTAGCATAGATCATTGAATCTGATTAGACCGTTAGCATCTCGCTCAAATGGCCAAAGAGTTTCTATATTTTTCCTATTTAAAACTTGACTCTTCTGTAGTTACATCGTGTACTAAGACCGACGGAAAATGAAAAGTTGTGATTTTCTAGGCCGATATGGCTAGGAACTATACTCTCATTCCGGCGTAATAATCAAGGAACTTTGATGCTGTACCATGGGTGCAGCAGGCGCAATGATATTACGCAGTGCCTGAAAGTACGGCAGCAAAAGTCCTTGATTATTACGCCAGAATGAGAGTATAGTTCCTAGCCATATCGGCCTACAAAATTTTTTTCTCGCAACTTTTCATTTTCCGTCAGTCTTAGTACACGATGTGACTACAGAAGAGTCAAGTTTTAAATAGGAAAAATATAGAAACTCTTTGGTCATTTTTGAGCGAGATGCTAACGGTCTAATCCGATTCAATGATCTATGCTAAGCTACAGCTAAAAGTGCTACCGCCAGACCTAGAGATCGGGAGAGGGGTTGGAAAATGAGCCTTTTTTCAAAAATAGTGGAGTGTTCCTTTAATTAAATTTTAATAATAAAAAGGCAAGCCTATGAAATGTTTTATTTTTTCAGAAATTCTGTGTTTAAATTTTTCAGGATTTATGATTTAATACAAATACATTATCAAAAATGGTGGTAACCAAATTAAGGCATAAAACATCAATTTAATTACTCTTTTAAAATGTAATCTATTGAAAATGTTACAATTCCTTTTTTAGGCCAATGGAGTTCTGCACAACTGAGGCTTACTGTTCAAATTCAAACATTAAAATAATAAAAATGGTGATTTTCCTTAAAAAAAAAAAAAGTTATAGCAATCGTATTATTACTTTGAAAGTACAGTCTATTGTGCAAAAGTAATATTTCTATTAGAACTTCTTCCAAGTTAAATCAAACTTTTATTTTGACAGGTTGTCGTGAAGACCTTTGACTTTCAGTGACAGTTTTTAGCCCTGGCCTTCTGTGCTGTCAAACACAAGCTCTCACCCAGTCCAGAGAGTCTGTGTTGAGCGTGTAACTGGTTTCCTTCCACTCGGCGTCTCCCTCCGGCTGGAAACTGACCTCACGGATGGCGAAGATGTCGCTCTCCTCCTCACCCTCACCGTGAGCGGTCTGCTCAGAGACAAAGAGCTTTGGATATGACATCCATTCAGTGAGCACAAAACACACAGCTTTTCATTTGGCATGCTCTTTATGATAGCCGGACCTTCAGTCACACTGACCTAAAAACACAACGACGAGAGAAAAACAACCCACCTCATCCTCGGGGAAATGACAGTCAAACACTAGTGAACTCTTTACTCCTGGTTTGGTCACTTCAACCACAAAGTTGGGCGTTGAGACAATGTCAGGCTAAAAAACACAGTACAAACGTGTTAAAAAACATGCCATGATGAGGTAAAAGCTAGTGGAGCTGCTCAGTTATGTCCTGTTTTTAAAGCAGTGGTCGTCAACTCCCACTAAAGGGCCTGAGCATGCTTACAAGACGACTGAAAATGATTAAAGACAAAACAAGCATTAAAATCGGCTAAAACAACTACAAATCAAGAGATTTCTTATTTTCATTCACTCTCCCAAAAATTGTTTTTAATCCGAAGAAGCAGGACTCACACCGTTTTGAAAAACATTGATATTTGAGGATGGTTGATTTTAAAAGTGTGATTTCTAGACACACACAGTAAATTCACGGAAATTAATAAAACTCAATGGCAAAATGGCAATGGGCATTTTAATAATGAATATATATTTTTGTAGTTATGCCAAACTGTAAAATATTTTATCTGGTAGATATTGCGAGTAAAAAATATTTGCCAACGCTTATTTTACAGTGCTCGTTAGTAGGGTTGCAAAGGGGTGGAACATTTCCGGAAACTTTCCAAAAATCCCTGGAATATTCCAAAAAAAATCCTGGAAAGTTTCAAAATTTCTGGAATGTTTCCGAAATTTACTGGAAATTTTACACCTTTTTGCAACCCTACTTGTTAGTAGTAAGTAGATAAACCCAAAATTAATTAATATTACTCAGAACTTATTTGTGTACTTGCACTGTAGCAAAGATATATATATATATATATATATATATATATATGAATATTTCTTATATTCTCTAGAATTATATTCCATGGTGAATTGCTTATGTTCCTCTCCTATAAGCTGCTTTGAAAAATATTTTATTAATATAATTCATATAATAATAATAATAATGATAATAATAATAAATATTAAAAAAAAAATCTTAAATCTTATATTCTTTAGAATTAAATTCTGTCATTATTGCTTTTGTTCCTCTAGTGTAAGTTGCTTTGGATAAAAGTGTCTGCATACTTGTAAATTGACATTATGCTCACATTCATGCTTTATAAAAAAAAAAAAGCTATTTTAATAATGCATTTGTGACTCACATCTTTGTTAAACTTTCATGCTGCAACCTTAATTTTATAAAACAACCAAAACAGCAACACCTTCAACAGTTTAAGAACATTAGGCAGGTAGTTGATTTCATATGCCATTATATAATAAGCTGTGCTTGTACAGTATGAACGCATTGTGCATGTGCAGCAGCACTACCTCGTCCTCCTGACTCTTCTGCGTGTGCTCAGGATCCTCCTCCAGCTGCGGCGGGATGCTGTTGTTCACATTGAAAGTGATGGTGACTCTGTCAAACACAAAACCCAACATAAGCATAAATATCATCAAACAAGCTCTGCAAATGACACTTGATGAATTCGCTCAATGCCTTTATTAATAAACATTTGCTTGTGCACGCCTTGCATGCAATGCAATGCAATTGGATAAAAACATCTGCAAAATGCATAACTCTAAATAGAATTGTTTTATAAAGCAATAAGTAGGGATGTAACGATTCACTCAACTCACGATTCGATTTGATTCACGATTCAATTCACAATTTTTTTTTTTT